CCCGCCGCGGGAGCGTCGCTCGGGACCGCCCCGAGCGCCCCTCCCCGCGTGTTAGTCGCCCCGGCTGAGATCCGGGGTCGCACTCGCTCCCGTACCGCCGCCCAGAGCACCTCACGTGTCTTGGGGTCAAGCAGCCCCCCGATGGATGCGTGATGCGAGCCTTATTCTAAAACATCCGCAGTTTCGGCCAAGATGGTCGGCGCCGCCAACTCATTGAGTACATGCGAACCGAGCGAATCGACATTGTAGCCATTCAAGAAACAATGCGTGCTGAATTCTCCCTGTCGGAACTTGAGCATCTGAGCTCCGACCTGTTCGCCTGGCACTGGCTCCCTTCTAGTGGGAGTACAGGTCACTCGGGTGGCATCCTCCTAGGTGTGAAGGATGCCACCCTTGAGGTTGGGGGCATGGACCGGGGCGAGTTCTTTGTTAGCATGGAGGTCTTTGAAAGGTCCTTAAATTTTAAATGGGTGATCATTGCGGTTTATGGTCTGGCCGACCACCGCAGGTCAGAGACTTTCCTCGCTGAGCTCTAGAGGAAGGTTGCGTCGGCCCAGTTTCCGGTTGTAGTGGGCGGCGATTTCAACCTCATCCGGACAGAAGAAGACAAGAGCAATAATCTAGTGAACTTTCCTCGGATGCAATTATTCAATGATTGCATCGCTGATATGGGGTTGCGGGAACTCGATCGTGTCGGGGCCAGGTTCACTTGGACTAACCGCCAAGTTGATCCGACTCGCTCGGTCCTCGATCGAGTTTTTGCCTCCCCTGAGTGGGACATTCGATGTCCCCTAGCATCGCTGCAGGTGATTACGCGGATTGGTTCCGACCATGTTCCCCTTCTCTTCTATTCGGAGAATGAGCGCCCCCCTCTGCCGCCACGCTTTCGTTTCAAGACCTTCTGGTTGCGTCAACCAGGCTTCACCGCCGCGGTGATCGCCAGGTGGCGGGAGGCGTGGGACGCCCCCCATAGGACCCTGTCGGCCGTCGATTCTTGGCATTTCTGCGCCAAGCGGTCGCGGCAATTTATGAAAGGGTGGGGTGCAAACGTGGGTCGGGACATTCGTGAGCGGAAGAAGGCTCTTCTTGAGGGCATCCAGGCCCTCGACCTGCGGGCTGACATTGATGGTCTTTCGGCAGACGAATGGATGCTCAGATACGACTTGGAAGATCAGCTCACGGTCATCTACACTGATGAGGAGGCCTACTGGTGCTTACGAGGTACGCAGAATTGGGTCCTCAAGGGGGACGCTAATACCGCCTACTTCCAGGCTATTGCTAATGGTCGTAGGCGCCGCAATTCCATCCCCCTCCTGTGGGATGGTCCGACCCTCCTTCAGCGGCCGGAGGACATCCGGGCACATGTGGATGGCTTCTACAGAGACCTATTCTCTGCCTCCCCTCGGGGAGGTCTTGCCCTTGCGCAAGATATTTGGCCTGCCCACTACCGCGTCTCGCCTGCGGATAACGCGACCCTCACGGCCCCGTTATCGGAGGTGGAAGTTTGGGCGGCTATTAAGGGCATGAACCCCTCCTCGGCTCCAGGCCCAGATGGCCTCCCAGTGAAGTTCTTCCAAACCTTCTAGGAGGTGATCAAACCTGAGGTGATGGCCCTATTCGACGATTTCATGGCTGGGACCATTGACCTCGGTCGGCTGAATTATGGGGTAATCACTCTCATCCCTAAGGTGACGGGAGCCTCGGACATCCGGCAATTTCGGCCGATTATCGTCATCTTCCGCATCCTCGCCAAGGGGTACGCCACTAGGGTGGCCCCTATAGCTGACCGGATCACTCACCCTGATCAGTCGGCCTTCATCCAGCGCCGCTATATCCTTGATGGAGTCCTAGTATTCCACGAAGCTCTCCATGAGGTGCACTCCAAACACCTCAAGGTAGTCTTCCTGAAACTGGAGTTCCACAAGGCTTATGACACGGTCAGCTGGACCTTCCTTCGGGAATGTTTGCTTCAAAAGGGCTTCGACGATAGGTGGGTGACCAGAATAATGCAGATGGTCTCTTCGGGCGCGGTGAACATTAATGGGGAGATCGGCCCGTTCTTCCCCATGTTCTGTGGGGTCCGCCAGGGCGACCCCTTCTCCCCATTCTTGTTCAACATAGTTGTCGATGCGCTGGCGGCCATTCTCGATAAGGCCAAGGCGGCGGGACACATTAAGGGGATTGTCTCGCAGCTTGTTGGAGGCAACGGGATCTCCCTCCTCCAATATGCAGATGACACCATTATCATGGTGGAGGGCTCTGAGAGTGATATCTCGAACCTCAAGTTCCTCTTATTGTGCTTCTAGCGAATGTCCGGCCTTAGGATCAACTTCGACAAGAGTGAGGTTATGGTCATGGGCTACGCCCAAGACGAGCGACAGAGCATAGCGAATCGGCTTAACTACCAGCTTGGGTGCTTCCCCACGACTTATATGGGGATACCCTTTAGTGACGCCAGGCTTACGGTGGCCGAGCTACGCCCCACGGTGGGGAAGCTCCAACACCGGATCGAGCACTGGCAGGGTCGGTGGCTCTCGAAAGCGGCCCGTAAGGTGCTCATTAACTCGTCCCTCTCCAGCCTCCTATTATTCATCATGAGCTTCTACAACCTTCTGGAGACTCTTCATCACGAGATTGCCACCGTTCAGGGGCGCTTCTTCTGGGCCGGTGAGGGTGATAAGCAGAAATATCACATGGTCGGGTGGTCGGAGATCTGCAAACCTCGCGACCAGGGCGGCCTTGGGATCATGTCCTCCAAACGCATGAATATTGCTCTTCTGACTCGGTGGCTCTGGCGGATTAGCAACGGAGATGGTGGCCTGTGGCTACGCATTATTCAGCAGAAATACCTCCGAGGCCAGCCTCTTGCCTTCTGTCAGCGATCTGGGGGCTCCCAGTTCTGGCAATCCATCATTCAGCTCCTCCCTGTCCTCCGGATCGGGACCTCAATCGAGATTGGTTCCGGCACCGCCACGCTGTTCTAGTTCGATCGCTGGACTGGTGACTCGCCCCTGGCGGCCCGCTTTCCGAACCTGTTCTCCATTGCGGTTGTCCCTCGGATCTCCGTGGCGACCGCCCTTATTGACTTAGGGCGGCTTGCGTTCCGGAGGCCTTTTGGTCCTGCTGAAAATGCGGACTGGCAGGAGTTGCTCGACTATATTGCTCTCCATGAGCCGGATCTCACGTCTGACGATGACCGTGCCAGGTGGCGCCTCGAGCCGTCCGGTCAATTCTCCGCCAAATCTCTCTATCTGGGCATCGCCCCCTCGCTCGGCCATGAGGCTCTTTCCTCCATCTGGGAGATTCGCCTCCCCTTGAAGATTAGGATCTTCCTATGGCAATGGATTCGCGGCCGCCTCCCTTCTAGCGTTGAGGTTCTGAAGCGCAATGGCCCTGGTGATGGGCGTTGCCCGCTCTGTGGGCCTGAAGAAGATTCAAACCATATCTTCTTCACCTGTTTGTCTGCGCAGTTCCTATGGAGCTGTTTTCGTGAGATTGTGGGTGGAAGCTGGGACCATACCAACTTCCCCGCTCTCTTTGCCGAACTCCGGGCGATCCCCCCCTCCCCCCCCCCTCCGTGTTGCGCCACATTAGGTGGCTGACCATTGGGGTCCTTGCCTGAACGCTATGGACTGTTAGGAATAAACTTGTGATTCAGCGTATCCCTCTTCGTCGTGCTATTGATGCTTCGTTCAAATGGTCTGGTTACTTGCAGCTTTGGCGGCCGCTTAGCCGTCCCAGGGAGAGAAAGGCCATCACCTCCATCATCACCCAGCTTCACGCGATGGCTCTCCGGATGGCTCCTCCGCTTCCCCCACCACCGCCTGAGTCAGATTAGCTCCTCTTCATCTTCGGCGCCACCGCCGTTTGTTGTCTGTGCTGTCCTTGTTGCTATGTTGGGCTTGTTGTGATGTGCCCACAGCTGAACCTGTGTTGTGTGTTGTGTTTCGTGCATTTGTGTTGGACCTTCGCGTGGTGGCGTTGGGTGTGTGTGTGTGTTTCGGTTGATACCTTGTGGACTTTGTGCTCGGTGGTTGCTTTATTTATAAAGCGGGGCGAAAGCCTTTTTCGGTAACTAACTAAAATGTAAAACAACAAAGATAATTGGCATTCCTTTGAACCCAAAAATCTAACGCACACCTTTATTTGTAATTTGATAAAGTTGATATGAACATTACAAATATCACTCACAGTATGACAGTAGTGAGATTACATGGTTGTCGCACCTCGCCCTTGTCCTTGGGGAACTATGGGTCAGCAGGTGGGTGCGGCGGATCATGGAAAGTGCTATCCTTGGGGATAGGGCTAATCTTTGGAATTCTGGGAACTTGAACATCAGAATTTTCGCCGCCGGCTTCGTGATCGGGATCTGCTTTCAGCGAAGGCTTGCAGGTTACAGGTTGAAGTGTGCTGCACGATTCACCAGGGACCGAGTGTGGAGGATCTTGCAGGGTGGGCGTCAAAGACTCGCCGATAGGTTCAGGAGTCGGCTGGTCAGGGAAGTGGCTGGAAGAGCTAAACCTGGGGCTTTTGGGATCTTTGTAATCATCACGTTTTGCCGGCAAACGCTTGTCGGTCAGAGACTGAAGTGCGCTGCATGAACCACCAGGAATCAGGTGCGTGGGGCTTTCGAGGCTGCGCATCTGCGGCGTGTTGGTTACAAGTTGAGGTTCTCTACTAGGATGAATCATGTTCTTAGGATGTTCGCTGGTGGGACGACGAGAAGGCTTGTGGATTGGAATTTTAGGTGTGCTGGATGGAAGTGGGTGAAGAACCTTTTGCTCCGGGGCAACGGACCGGCTACAATTCGAATCTGATAGAGAGTAGTTGTAACAATTAGCACGTATCAATGACATAAAAAAATTCCCGCACATGCGTGCAGAAAGTACATACTACATACTACTCCCTGTGTTCCTAAATATAAGTTTTTGAAGAGATTTCACTATGGACCATATACGGAACAAAGTGAATGAATCTATACTCTAAAATGCATCTATATACATCCATATATTGTTCATAGCAAAATCTCTACAAAGACTTATATTTAGGAACAGAAGGAGTAGTAACTAATTGAGTGGGTTAGTAGCAAGCTACGTACCTGGAGCGGCTGGAGGCTGAACGGCACGAACAGCTGGAATGGCAGTTCCTGGAGCCGCCGGCTGTATGGCGGCCGCGGCGGCGGAAGAGGAGAAAGAGCTCAGATGTGGATTTCTGTGCGACATGAGCCACACCAGGGAGCGCAGAGACGGAGACCAGCCCGGAGCAAGTGCCATTTCTCACTGGCTACCTACAGGGCAGTTAGTTCGATCTGTCAAAGCTCAGAAGCAAGTCGATCTGTGGTGAGTGCCTCTAAATTAGCGGCTTGTATGGGTATTTATAGTAGTATCAGAAATGTCGTGCCTCAGCGAGGCACTTGCCTGGTACCTTCCCCACCGACAAAATTAACTACTAGTACTACTATATATGTGCATTCATCGAGGCCTGACCATCAAATGGAATTGAAAAAAAAACATACAAAAAATGACAAGGCGTGCGTTCATACCACCACCACCACCATGCGAAGACTTGAGGCAGCTATTGTGCTCCAGGTCAGAGCCGAGCCGCAAAAGGATCGTGATCAACACCCTCAAGTGTCAAATATCCTACAAAGTCCGTACGCAGGTCTGCCAGTCTCAGTTGCGAGGATTCCATATACCATAGTACCTAGCAAGGAATCAACTCGTACGTACAAGTGGATCAGATCAACGACTGGCTCCAGCAAAATCAACTCGTACCAATCCCAAAGCAGAGCATGCGTTCATGGATGATGGATGTCAACGTCCCATTTCCCATGGAAACGTATGTTGATTTGACTGCACCCAGCATATGCTCTTCTTTCCCCGAAAGAACTGCACATATGCGTACTGCTTACTTAAATCTGCAATCTACAGTTAGACGCCACCGCCACGGGTAGACATCTTCTTCCAAAGGAGATCGACGTTTGGTCTCGCGCAGTGTAGCTCCAAGTCACAGCAATGGCATCTTTGTTCACAGGCCTTGCTAGGTTCCTTTGCCTCTTCGGCTTCTTTTGCAGCCTGCCACTAGCCATCTGCGATGAATCCCAAAATGATAGACAGGCCCTGCTCTGCTTCAAGTCCCAGCTCTCCGGACCACCCGGAGTTTTGGATTCATGGAGTGACGCTTCCCGGGAATTCTGCGACTGGCGTGGGGTCATGTGCAGCGCAATGCCGCCATTGCGTGTCATTGCACTGGACCTTGAATCACAAGGCATATCAGGCTCCATGTCGCCTTGCATTGCCAACCTCACTTCGCTGGCGAGGCTCCACCTATCAAACAACAGCTTCCACGGCGGCATACCGTCCGAGCTCGGCCTCCTGACCCAACTCGCCGACCTCAACCTCAGCATGAACGCTTTGCAAGGTAACATCCCGTCTGAACTCTCTGCATGTTCCCAGCTCCAGGTCCTGGGTTTGGGGAACAATTCCCTCCATGGAGAGATTCCACCTAGCCTTAGTCAATGCAAATATCTTCAAGAGATTAACCTTAGCAACAACAAGCTCCAAGGGGGCATCCCTTCTGCTTTTGGAAATCTTCCTGAGCTGCGCATACTAGTTCTCGCTAGTAACGGGCTCACCGGCAACATGCCGCCATCTCTGGGCAGCAGCCATGTCCTCACGTACGTCGATCTTGGGAGGAATGCTCTCACAGGGGTCATCCCAGAGTCCTTGGCAAATAGTTCAGCTCTTCAGGTACTTAGACTCATGGGAAATAATTTTACTGGAGAACTCCCCAAGGCTCTCTTCACCACCTCGTCGCTTATTGCCATTTGCCTCCAACAGAACAGTTTTGTTGGTTCAGTACCTCCTGTTACTGCCACATCCCCCCCTGTTAAATATCTTGATTTAAGGAACAACCATCTTTCAGGAAGGATACCTTTCTCATTAGGGAACCTTTCCTCCCTAGTTCATCTTCGTCTCACAGATAATCAGTTAGTTGGGAGCATCCCAGAGAGCTTAGGCTACATTCCAACACTGCAGAAACTGAGCTTGAGCGTGAACAACTTATCTGGGCCAATTCCACTGTCTCTCCTCAACATGTCATCCCTGAGAATTCTTACCTTATCGGAAAACTCATTAATCGGAAGATTGCCATTTGACATAGGCTACACGCTCCCGAATATTCAGGCCTTGTTGCTCTCAAAGAACAATTTTGATGGCCCAATCCCAGCCTCCCTCCTCAAAGCTTACCACCTATACATGCTTTACCTGAATCATAATAGCTTTACTGGATCCATACCATTCTTCGGTTCATTGCCAAATTTAGAGCAACTTGATTTGGCACACAACAACCTAGAGGCAGGTGATTGGGGATTTGTCTCTTCACTCTCACATTGTACTAGGTTAACTAAACTGATGCTGGATAGCAACAATCTCCAAGGGAAACTGCCAAGTTCAATCGGTAATCTTTCCAATAGTCTTCAGTGGTTGCTGCTAAGTAGCAACAACATTTCTGGACCTATACCATCGGAGGTTGGTAACCTTAAGAGCCTCAACATCTTGTACATGAGTAACAATAGTCTCACTGGCAATATACCAGCAACACTTGGGAATTTACAAAGTTTGGTTGATCTATCCCTTTCACAGAACATGCTTTCAGGCCTAATTCCAGATATTACTGGTAATCTCGTCCAGTTGAGTATGCTGGAATTGGATCACAACAACTTTAGTGGAAGGATACCCGCAAGTCTAGCAAGATGTACTCGACTCAAAATACTCAATCTTGCTCACAACTCACTGGATGGGCCAATACCAAGTAAGATCTTCAAAATCTCTACACTCTCTGAAGAGTTAGACTTGTCATACAATTATTTGTCGGGAAGAATGCCAGAGGAAGTTGGTAGCCTCATTCATCTGAAGAAAATGAACATGTCAAATAACAGGCTGTCTGGCAACGTCCCGTCAACTCTCAGCCAGTGTGTGGATCTGGAGTATCTTGACATGCAAAGCAATTTCTTTGTAGGAAGCATTCCACAGTCTATTGCCAGATTATCCAACTTAAAAAATATGGATATTTCTCAGAATAATTTATCCGGAGAAATACCAGAGCCCCTCAAATCCTTGAAATCCCTCCAGTACCTCAATTTATCCTTCAACCATTTTCATGGTGAAGTTCCAAGAGGTGGTGTTTTCGACATTGCTGGTGCAGTGTCAGTTGAAGGAAATTATCATCTCTGTACAAGCATTCCAACAGGAGGCATGTCCCTTTGTTCTGCACTGGTTGACAAGAAAAGAAAACACAAGTCATTGGTTCTGGTCCTAGCGATTGTGTTGCCGATTGTTGTTGTCACTATAATTATTTTGTCATGTATTGTGGTAATTTCTCGGAAGAAGAGAATGCAATCCAATCCCCATTTACAACATGTCAACGAGCACATAAAGAACGTATCATATGAAGACGTTGTAAGGGCAACTGATCGATTCTCTTCTGCAAACTTAATTGGTTCTGGATCATTTGGAAGGGTTTATAAGGGCAGTCTCCAGTTTCAAGATCAAGTTGCCATCAAGATTTTTGACCTTGACATTTATGGAGCACATAGGAGCTTCATAGCAGAGTGTGAAGCCCTTCGTAATGTGCGCCATCGAAATCTTGTAAGAATCATTACTTCATGCTCTTCAGTGGATCATACTGGGGCAGATTTCAAGGCCCTAGTGTTCCCATACATGCCAAATGGTAACCTAGAAATGTGGCTACATCCGGCGGATCATGAACATGGTGAAAGAAATACTCTGTCATTAAGCCAAAGGATTAATGTAGCCTTGGATGTAGCATTTGCTTTGGATTATCTTCACAACCAGTGTGCATCTCCAATTATACACTGCAACTTGAAGCCAAGCAATATTCTTTTGGGTCTTGATATGGCTGCATACGTCATCGACTTTGGCCTAGCAAAATTTTTGTTCAGCGCACCAAATGCACATCAAGACAGATCAATAAGTGCCTGCCACCTAAAAGGATCCATAGGATACATTCCACCAGGTTTGATAAGCTTATTCTCAAAATAAAATAGTTCTGTTTATAGAGTTGTACAAATAATGATTATCCTCTAATTTTATTGTGTTTGCAATGTCAATGCAGAGTACGGCATGAGTGAACAGATATCAACCAAGGGTGATGTCTACAGTTTTGGGGTGCTTCTGTTACAACTGATAACAGGGTGCAGTCCAACTGATGATAAATTCAGTGATGGTATAAGCCTTCATGAATTTGTTGATAGAGCATTTACAAAGAATATTCATGAGGTTGTTGATCCCACAATGCTACAAGATGATATGAATGCAGCAGACCTGATGAAGAATTGTGTTATCCCACTGATTGCAATCGGCCTCTCTTGCTCCGCGACACCACCAAAAGACCGGCCAGATATGGGACAAGTTTCTACTGAGATCCTTAGAATCAAGCACGCGGCCTCACAAATGCGTGCCAGATGAAGCAAACATTTGGAAGATGGCAACTTGCAACAGAAGCGCATCTAAAGAAGAAAAGTGATGTAACTACCTTACAGTGTTTTCCTTTTAGGATTCAGTTACTGGCATTTCCAAACAGTAATATTCTCTTGCTGCAATAGCATTTAATGTAATTTTCCTTTTAGTTTTATTGAGTAGTAACTCTGTAAGCACCATCCAAGGGATTAAGGCTCAAATGTCCAATCAGATTGATTTAAATGTTTTTAGAAGGTGATTTGGGATCCGAAATGGGAATCAAAGCTCGAATCTGCACATGAATGCAAATGCTGGTCCTATGCGAGATTTGGCAGGAAAGGAACAAGTGCACTTTCAGGGGCAAGATCGCCTCCGCACACGAGTTTGTCACCGCAATCATACGAGCAATGGAGCTATGGCGCCCAGCCGGAGCAAACTGCATTGAGCCCCCTTTTGGGGAACCTCCATGAGAGATTGTTAATTCTCTGGCAGCCAATAGGGCTGTACTTTTCTTTATTTTCAGTTCATTTCCTTTTCACCCTTGATCTTAGGAGCCCCACCATTTTATCTTCCGTTGCTTCCTGCTAATCATCAATCAGCCAGCAATTTGCTGGATCTTCCAAAAAAAAGACCGGTCAGATATGGGACAAGTTTCTACTGAGATCCTTCGAATCAAGCACGCGGCCTCACACATGCGTGCCAGATGAAGCAAAGATTTGGAAGGATGGCAGCCAGTGAAAGAAGTGCATCCAAAGAAGTAAAGTGATGTAACTACCTTACTGGTGCCCAGGCAAAAAAAACTTATTGGTGGTTTCCTTTTGGAATTCAGTTACTAGCATTTCCAAACGTATTACTGATATTCTCTTGCTGCAGTAGCATTTCATGTAATTTTTCTCTAGGTCTGTTGTGTAGTAGTATCTCTGTAAGCACCATCGGAGGGATAAAGCTCAACAGATTTGCATGCTTAATGTCCAGTCAGATTGAGTTAAATGTTTTTACAAGAGTGATTTTTGCTCCGAATGGGAATCAAAGCTCGAGTATGCACATGAATTCGAACGAAAAATAAAATCCGCTACAAAGTAGTAACTCGAACCGAGTAGATACAGATTGGATTTCGCCAAATCCCCGCAGAAGATGAAGCAGATAGACATAGCACACGCGTGTACCTGTTCGCCGCAGAACGGCGGCGCTGCTTCGTGCCGACTGCCGCTGGGGCCTGCAGGCGCCGCCGCTGCTTGGGGCCTCGCCACACATTGGCCCTATCCTATTCCTATCCTCGCAAGACTGAAGGCTCCCCCGCCGTCGTCCTGCGCTGTCGAAGCTCGGGCAGCGTATAGCGCGGTCCTTTCAGCACCGGGCCTTCGCCCTATTGTTGTCACGGACGGGTCACGAGGAACAAAGAAAAATACATATTTGGTCCTCCGTCTTTTCCAACAAGGGCGATAAGATCTGCATCGAGACAAACTACATTAATGATTATATCCGCACCAACTATCTCATGATACACACGAACGATAAGGTTCTTCAATAGCAACGTCTTCAACAAGATAGTGACACTCAAGTGTTGCTGTCATCGGGTTCAATAACGCAAGGCCAGAATCTAGGTTTTCACATTGAAAAAAAAACAGTCTGAGCAATGTCTTCAACAAGGTAATAATGTCAAAACACCATCATTGCCTCGTATAATCAACTCGGCTCAGGCCTAGGCTTTCACCCCAAAACTCGAGACCGGGTGCTTGAGTAGCACTACCATCTGAAGTCACTTATGTGTTGTCGTCGTCCCTTTTTCACGACCCCAATAGCTACATGTGATGTACAACCACCGCTGCCGCACCACCACCCCTTTGCGTCAAACCGTTGTCCGTAGCCCTTGGGGTGGATGACCTTACCATGATCATGGCCCTCCTGGAGGAGGAATCTGCCCTCCCCCCTGGCACCTCGGTGGCGCTACTTCTCGCCTCTCCTGAGCACTCCGATCCCATAG